TCCAGCCAGAGTTAGGATATCCAACAAGTGGAATTGTTTATCACCCGCAACCTGAATTCAGAATGACTGCCAAGGTAGAGAAGATTGCATACTAAGACTACCTCAATCATGTAAACAGGAACAACCATCTCAGTAACGGGTGCAATAAAAACTGTATGTTATATCTATTTTTTGTGTAGCATAAAATTAATCAACCAATCAATGTACATGCAAAAACACAGATATTACAGTAAAACAAACAATTATGTAAATCTCCCTACAATAGAGCATGCTGGGAAATATTATATATGGTTCTATGTAGAACCCTAGGATGTTAAAGGTTCTAGAAAGAACCCTTTGCCATACAAAGAACCCTTGTCTTCCAAAAAGGGTTATTCTGATCAAAATGGTTATGGAAGAACCCTATCCCTCTGCAAAGAACCCTTTTGGAACCCTTTTTTCTAGGAGGGCAGTGCACTATATATGGAATAGGATGCTATTTGGGACATCAATCAAATGTATTTTATAAAGCCCATTTTACAACAGCAGTTGTCACAAAGTGCTATACAGAAACTCAGCCTAAAACCCCAAAGAGCAAGCAATGCAGAAGTAGAAGCACAGTGGCTAGGAAAAACTCCCAAGAAAGGCAGGAACCTAGGCAGTAACCTAGGACATAACCCTGGTCTTAACTGGCTCCACTCCTCCCCACCGCTCTCTCGCTCATCTCATGGATCCCTGCTCAGTCAGAGGAGAAAGAACCTCTCCAAGTCTTTAATGGGCTCAGAGAAGCTCCGGCTCTTTAGGTGTCGGCGGTCTAATGAGTTCCTTTTGAAACGGAGAACGAACATGTGCGAGCATGTGCACTTAGATGTAGATGTGTGTGATGGAGTCTGTGTGTGTGTGTGCGCGTGTGTGAAAGCAAGAGATCTACGTTTTTTATTTGTGTCATGTGCATGTATTTTTGTGTGGTTTGTGTATGTGTGCTTGGGTTTTATGTATGGTGTACTCAATATTGACGTTTTATTGGTTTGCTGGTTATAGCCTACAATTGACAGTTAGATACAAACTGCTTTAAAGCCTGTGGTTCTGCCCAGTCAGAGAGAGAGACAGGGAACATCTCGGAACACTTTCACTTATCTTCAAGAGTGTCTGACTAGGGCTGTGTCCCAAATGGCACCCTGTTCCCTAGTGCACTACTTTTGACCAGAGCCATATGGGGACCTGGTCAGAAGTACTGCACTGTATAGGCAATAGGGTGCCATTTGCAAGATGCTGTGATCAAGGCTGTGACGACTGTATTTGTTTTTCGGTTGTGTAATTCCACACTGGTCTATGGGTTTTTATTTCTGGGCTGTATACCTAAAAATCATGAAGAATGAGGAGGTAATATTTAGAAAAGGACTCAGACACAGTACTGAGACACAGTAACCGCATGAGGGATGAGTACTATCCAACAACAGTACTTTACCTTTGTACTTTTTCCTTCACACAGACAATATATATATTTCTTTCAATAACCTTGTTTGGGGTAAGTTGTAAAATACTGCAATGATTCAACCATCAGAAAATACAACCTAACGTTAATGTTTCTGAACCTGAGGGACATAGACACATAGTAACTGAAGTGAATCATATTGAATATGTATCTCTTCAACACGTAGAACAAGTGAAGGGAGCATTTTGAGTACAGCCGATCTTGAGGGCAGATATCGATGAGGACAGATCATCTTGAGGACAGATCTATTTTAGATTTCTTCCCAAGCGGTTTACAAGTACCAAGCTGACCCCTCTTACAATAATCCAATGAACACAGTTAGTATATACACTCAGTGGCCAGTGCCTCCAGAACAGTCTGACTTCTTCGGGGCATTGAAACGTTACTCAATTTGTATCAAGGGATCTAACGTATGCCAGGAAAGCATTCCGCACACCATTACACCACCGCCACCAGTCTGTACTGTTGACACCAGGCAGGATGGGGCCATGGACCCATGCTGCTTATGCCAAACCCTGACTCTGCCATCAGCATGACGTAACAGTAACCGGGATTCATCGGACAAGGCAATGTTTTTCCACTCCTCAATTTTCGAGTGTTGGTGATCGCGTGCCCACTGGAGCGGCTTCTTCTTGTTTTTAGCTGATAGGAGTGGTCGTCTGCTGCAATAGCATATCTGTGACAAGGACAGACGAGTTCTGCATTCGGAGATGCCGTTCTGCACACCACCTTTGTACTGTGCCGTTATTTGCCTGTTTGTGGCCGCCTGTTAGCTTGCATGATTCTTACAATTCTCCTTCGACCTCTCATCAACGAGCTGTTTTCGCCCACAGGACTTCCACTGACTGGATGTTTTTTGTTTGTCGCACCATTCTTGGTAAACCCAGGAAGCTGGCCATTTCTGAGATACTGGAAACGGCGTGCCTGGCACCAACGATCATACCATGCATGCTCAGAGTTGCTTAGGTCACTCTTCTTTCCCATTCTAATGTTCAATCGAACAGTAACTGAATGCCTCAATGCCTGTCTGCCTGCTTTATATAGCAAGCCACGGCCACGTGACTCACTTCTAGGAGTGAACCATTTTCTTGAACGGGGTGGTGTACCTTATAAACTGGCCACTGAATGTACATGGTATCATCTTAGTTCTTATATCACCACACAGTAACATGGGATTACCAAAAGTGTTCTGTATTTCCATTCAATCTATTTGAACTTTGTTTGTTCCTTTACCTTCTCTGTAACCATTTTTCAGAAAGAACTGACGTATGGTGTGTGTGTGTGTGTGTGTGTGAGTGTGCGCTTGAGTGCCTAACCCTCCCGGAGTGGACTCAACACAGTACAGTGGGTGAAGGCTGGGCCATTGTGTTAGGCATCATCATAGCATTACCCTGACCTGGGATGTTTGTGCTTTTCTCTCCCCCAGGAGACTGTCATAACAGGCCTGCTCCCTGAGACCACCTACTCTGTCACCGTGGCAGCCTACAGCACCAAGGGGGACGGGGCACGCAGTAAGGCCAAGGTGGTCACTACCACAGGAGCAGGTGTGTAGAGCTACACGCAAGAACACACACAGAGACACACACACTGCACACACATACACACACAGGATAAGGTGTGTACGGCTAAATCATTGCTCCCTCTTGATCAGATGATTATTGTGAAAGAGAATGTCTTCGTCCAAAATGGCACTGCAGTACAAATATCGATATCAACATAATCTAAAATCAAATCTAAAATAACAAGTAAGTAGAATAAAGTAGTATGCATAGTAATAAAACTGATACAGTGCATTCGGAATGTATTAAGACCCCTTCCCTTTTTCCACATTTTGTTACGTTAAAGCCTTATTCTAAAATTGCTTAAATTAATTATTTTCCTCATCAATCTACACACAATACCCCATAATGACAAAGCGAAAACAGGTTTTTATAAATTTTTGCAAATGTATATATATTTTTTAACGTATTTACTTAAGTATTCAGTCCCTTCGCTATGAGACTAAAAATTAAGCTCAGGTGCATCCTGTTTCCATTGGTCATCCTTGAGATGATTCTACAACTTGATTGGAGTCCACCTGTGGTAAATTCAATTGATTGGGTATGTTTTGGAAAGGCACACACCTGTCTATATAAGGTCCCACAGTTGACAGTGCATGTCAGAGCAAAAACCAAGCCATGAGGTTGAAGGAATTGTCCGTTGAGCTCCGAGACAGGATTGTGTCGAGGCACAGATCTGGGGAAGGCTACCAAAACATTTCTGCAGCATTTAAGGTCCCCAAGAACACAGTGGCCTCCATCATTCTTAAATGGAAGAAGTTTGGAACCACCAAGACTATTCCTAGAGATGGCCGCCCGGCCAAACTGAGCAATCAGGTGACAAGGGCCTTGGTCAAGGAGGTGACCAAGAACCCTATGGTCACTCTGACAGAGCTCCAGAGTTCCATTCTACCAATCAGGCCTTTATGGTAGAATGGCCAGATGGAAGCCACTCCTCAGTAAAAAGCACATGTCAGCCCACTTGGAGTTTTCCAAAAAAGGGACTCTTAGACCGTAAGAAACAAGATTATCTGGTCTGATGAAACCAAAATTGAACTCTTTGGCCTGAATGTCAAGTGTCACGTCTGGAGGAAACGTGGCACCATCCCTACGGTGAAGCAGGGTGGTGGCAGAATCATGCTGTGGGGATGACTGGGAGACTAGTCAGGATCGAGGGAAAGATGAACGGAGCAAAGTACAGAGAGATCCTTGATGAAAACCTGCTCCAGAGCGCTCAGGACCTCAGAATGGGGAAAAGGTTTACCTTCCAACAGAACAATGACCCTAAGCACACAGCCAAGACAATCTAAGAGTGGCTTCGGGACAAGTCCCTGAATGTCCTTGAGTGGCCCAGCCAGAGTCCGGACCCATCCAACCTGTCAGAGCTTGAGAGGATCTGCAGAGAGAGATGGGACAAACTCCCCAAATACAGGTGTGCCAAGCTCGTAGTGTCATACCCAAGAAGACTCAGGGCTGTAATCACTGCCAAAGGTGCTTCAACAAAGTACTGAGTAAAGGGTCTGAAAACGTATGTAAATGTGATATTTCATTTTTTTTATAAATTAGCTAAATATTCTAAAAACCTGTTTTTGCTTTGTCATTATGGGGTATTGTGTGTAGATTAATGAGGGGGGGGGGGAAACAATTTAATCAATATTAGAATAAGGCTGTAATGTAACACAATTTGGAATAAGTCAAGGGGTCTGAATACTTTCAAATTCACTGTATGTACAGAATAGGATATACAGTGTAAATGATGAATGTGCAGTAGTACTCACTCTGACTGACTTGACCTGAAACTGGCCTTTTATTCTGACTGCTCACTATGTGTGCCTCCCAAATGGCACCCTGTTCCCCATATAGTGCACTACTTTTGACCAGGGCCCATAAGGTGTGTTCTATGTCATTATTAAGTGTGTTTTATGTCATTACTAAGTGTGCTCTATGTCATTATCCTAATGATCCTAATTTCTCTCTCTACCCGTTAGTCCCAGGCAAGCCCACTATGATGATCAGCACCACCATCGGTAACACAGCCCTCATCCAGTGGCAACCTCCGAAGGAGATGGTGGGAGAGCACATGGGCTACCAGCTGCAGTACAAACGCATGGCGGAGGAGTCGTTCACCGTAAAAGACTTCAAGAAGACAGAAGACCACTTCACCGTCACCGGCCTGCACAAGGGCGCCACCTACGTCTTCAAGCTCTGCGCCAAAAACCGGGTGGGCAACGGGGAGGAGTATGCGAAGGAGATCACCACGCCGGACGATATGCCCAGTAGCTACCCCCAGAACTTGAGCGTTGTGGGCCTGACCACCACCACCACCAAGCTGGCCTGGGAGCCTCCGGCGCTGGCTGAGAGGAACGGGAAGATTGTCCAGTATGTTGTGGTGTACAGAGATATCAACAGCCAGCAGAACCACACCAACAGGTATTATTCAATACCAATATTAATAATATTTTTAAACACCTTCTGAGACATTTATAAAACACTTAAAGTGAGGACTTTCTGTGTTTTTTATCTCATCTTGTATAGTCCACTGTCCTCAAACAGACATATCTTATCTTCTCTTATCTTATCTGCCTCAACAGCACGACAGAGACCCAGATGACCATCATGGGGCTGCAGCCTGATACCACCTATGATATCAGGATCAGGGCATTCACCAGCAAGGGAGGAGGACCCATCAGTCCTAGTATACAGAGCAGGACCATGTCTACCTCCATGCCAGGTGAGTACATGGTGAACATACGCAATGCAGGCGTACACACAAACGCGAGCGAGCGTGCGCACGCAAACACACGCACAGACGCGCACACACACACACACACACACACACACACACACACACACACACACACAAACACATTGAGAGCATGATCGTGTCGACCTCCATGCCTTATGAGCTCTGCTGATCTGTATAAATAGTCTCACACAGATGCAGAGACACCAGACCCATGTGCACACAGGCATGCAAACATACACACAAAGCCCCCACACACCTCCCCCCACACATAGACATACATCCACAGTCTCTCTGGCACAGACAGAGCAGATGGTATGGGAGAGGAACAGATGCATAGCTGTGTGTGTGGAAGCTGGTGGCAACTGGACTAGAGTGGCAGAACCAGTCCAGCGTAACCAGTACAGCAGTACATCAGCACCATGGAACACTCCTTTCATGTTCATATTAGTGCACATATGGCTCATGTGGAAATATATGCTAATATGCCTGCTACTAGCTATTCATAGTCAAATCTAATGCACAGAGACCTAGCAGACAGCTACCAGAGACTGGGGTTCAGATCCCACCATTTCAGACCCCACCAGTTACAGTACACATGAATGTAGAGGAAAGCTCATGTGAGTAGTTCCCCTGATGTTTTATCATGCATATATTTATGTTATAGTGTAAATGCAATAACATATCTTAATGTTACCATTAAAAAGTATGGGTCACTGAACATTAGTGAACTATTATAAATTACTTATCTCTTCAGAGAGTTATTTCATAATCTGTTTATCTCTATCTTAAAGCCTGTGTCCCTTACTATTTTTGCTGTAGCACTGATCTCCCAAGATGCTCTAGGGTTCCCCTAGCTCTGTCATGTTACAGCAAGTACAGATGACAGTGCTCTTTTATAATTGACCCTCTGTGTGTGTCCTCTGCCTCCCCCACCTCACCTCTGTCTCGCCACTCTCTCCCCCACCTCACCTCTGTCTCGCCACTCTCTCCCCCAACTCACCCTCTGTCTCACCCATCTCTCCCCCACCCCACCCTCTGTCTCACCCATCTCTCCCCCACCTCACCCTCTGTCTCACCCCTCTCTCCCCCACCTCACCCTCTGTCTCTCCCCTCTCTCCCCCAACTCACCTTCTGTCACCCTCTGTCTCCCCCACCTCACCCTCTGTCTCCCCCACCTCACCCTCTTTCTCCCCCCCCAACTCCCCCAGAGTTCACCAAAAACTTTGGTGTGAAAGCCGTGATGAAGACATCGGTCCTGCTGACTTGGGAAGTGCCAGAAACATACAAGTCTCAAGTGCCTTTCAAAGTAAGTAAAGACACCTCCATCCTTATAGCGTGCCTTATAGCTCCATCCTTATAGCGTGCCTTTTGCCTGCACAGATTGAGGGAATTGCATTGTGCGTGAGTGACACCACTTTTGTCAGTGGACAATGGAAAGGAGGCTCACACAACACAATGGAGGGGCTAGGATTGAAATATGTATTGAAATATCATGGGAATGAGGAAGGATATTGCCAAGCTTGAAATAATTGGTTATGCTTTATATTCCATCACACGTGGTCCATAACTGTCCTGAGGTTCATATAGAAAACAAAACAAGGAAGAAGGGAGAATATAATCATAGTGCACTTTTTAAAAAATGCTGGGTTGTTTGGTTGACCCAACTGCTTGGTGGCAGGTGTTGGGTCACTTACTCAGGTTGTTTTCTTAAAACCTGCTGGGTTATTGAGATATGACCCAGTGGGTCAGAGCAGAAGACTGGAGGCGTAGTTATGTAGGGGCGTGGCTTTCATATATCTTTTATTTTTTGCCACCCATGAGAGTAAATGTCATGATAATTATTCTGTTAAATAGTTATCACATGTTAAGGTGAAGCATTCAAATGTTTGTAGTTGCAATGATACTTACAGAAGTGTGAGTTTCCTTAAAGGCTTTGTAAATCCATTGTTGGGATACAGTAAGGTTATTATAATAGGTAACAAATCAAAATATTAAGAATGTGTAAAAAAAATAAAAAAGGACCATTTGAATGTTTTCTTCTTTGTTGGGGTTTTATGGTGGTGTGCCAACCAATATTAGATGCATTACCCCCACCTAGTGATAGGGAAAATAATCATCCTGAAACATTGAGCGTTTCCAGCTAATTGTGTCGAAAATAGGTTCATTAGGCTTTGATCAACACAGTGTACAGTAGTGGCACCTGCTGGTCAAAATAATTTAGAACAGACAAATTATTATAGATGACGTCCTACACGCCATAGCATGTGCGCAGGGTAGCCTTTTTGCCTTCTACCGAAACCAATACCAAACCAATTATGTCCCGTGTAGCTCGTGTAGCTCAGTTGGTAGAGCATGGCGTTTGCAACGCCAGGGTTGTGGGTTCGATTCCATCGGGGGACCAGTATGAAAATGTATCCACTCACTAACTGTAAATCGCTCTGGATTAGAGCGTCTGCTAAATGACTAAAATGTTTTTAAAAATGTTAGACAAAACGAAGCTTTGGACGTCATTCATCACGTGCTTCTGATAAAGTAATAAAAGCATCGGCACACTGCTTCGAAGTAAAGTGCTTCGTGATTTCGGCATATGCCGCGGAGCTCCGGTATCAAACGTAACATCATTGTAACATCACTACCGGCACCTACCAGGCTGGAGTGAGATGGAGACTATGGAGGTGTTTTGGATTATGCACTCTAGTTTATATGAATGGAGGAGGGACATTATTGCTGGGTGAATTACAGTTTGTTCTGGATGGGTTTTGAGTAATTTGGGGAGGGTGAAGCTTATTTACAGGGTTGTGATCGTTCTTCTGAGAGTTTGCCTTTGATGTTCGTAGGTTTTACAGTGAAGGAGGATGTGATCTGTAGTTTCTGCTGCTGGACAGTTAGGACATGAACCTGTGTTGTGTTTTCCTATCTTATGGAGAGATAGGATAGTTCTTTGTGGTTATTTGAGAATTGAAACCAGTTGGTGGAGTATAAATGCCTTCCTTTTTCCCCTTCTGTCCATTCCTTTTGCCATTTGTCTGTGATTTAGATTTTGATCAGTGACTTAATTTCAGATTTTGACATTGGAACTATGATGTCGATGTTGTGATGTAGTGCTCCTTTGGCCGCTGCCATCTCTTTCCCAGGCACCCCCACATTAGGGATGGGCATTTGACCTTTTTTGACTCTTTGAGTACTGGCATGAATAAACATTTTTTAGTACTGGAGTGCTCAAATAAAAAAAGGGCAGCACTGGAAAATAATATGTTCACATTTATCTATATGCCAACAGTGAGCAACAACGCCAAATATATCATAATCATTACAGATAACGAATCCTAATTGCTAAATTGCCTCATATATAGTCGATAAAAAAACAACTATATATACAGTGGGGAGAACAAGTATTTGATACACTGCCGATTTTGCAGGTTTTCCTACTTACAAAGCATGTAGAGGTCTGTAATTTTTATCATAGGTACACTTCAACTGTGAGAGACGGAATCTAAAACAAAAATCCAGAAAATCACGTTGTATGATTTCTAAGTAATTAATTTGCATTTTATTGCATGACATAAGTATTTGATCACCTACCAACCAGTAAGAATTCCGTCTCTCACAGACCTGTTAGTTTTTCTTTAAGAAGCCTGTCACACCCTGGCTCTGGGACTCTATATGTTGAGCCAGGGTGTGTTCATTCTATGTGTTATATTTCTATGTTGGGAGTTCTAGTTTGTTTATTTCTATGTTGGCCTGAGTGACTCCCAATCAGAGGCAACGAGTGTCAGCTGTGGCTGGTTGTCTCTGATTGGGAGCCATATTTAAACTGTCTGTTTTCCCTTTGTGTTTGTGGGTTCTTGTTCCAGTTGGTTTTGTGTTTGTACCGTGGACTTCACGAGTCGTTTGTTGTTTTGTTGATTGTCCGTATTTATCACTAAAGATAAATAAACATGTTCGTTCATCACGCTGCGCCTTGGTCTACTCCTTACGACGATCGTGACAAAGCCCTCCTGTTCTCCACTCATTACCTGTATTAACTGCACCTGTTTGAACTTGTTACCTGTATAAAAGACACCTGTCCACACACTCAATCAAACAGACTCCAACCTCTCCACAATGGCCAAGACCAGAGAGCTGTGTAAGGACATCAGGGATACAATTGTAGACCTGCACAAGGCTGGGATGGGCTACAGGACAATAGGTAAGCAGCTTGGTGAGACGGCAACAACTGTTGGCGCAATTATTAGAAAATGGAAGAAGTTCAAGATGACGGTCAATCACCCTCGGTCTGGGGCTCCATGCAAGATCTCACCTCGTGGGGCATCAATGATCATGAGGAAGGTGAGGGATCAGCCCAGAACTACACGGCAGGACCTGGTCAATGACCTGAAGAGAGCTGGGACCACAGTCTCAAAGAAAACCATTGCTAACACACTACGCCGTCATAGATGAAAATCCTGCAGCGCACGCAAGGTCCCCCTGCTCAAGCAGGCCCGTCTGAAGTTTGCCAATGACCATCTGGATCATCCAGAGGAGGAATGGGAGAAGGTCATGTGGTCTGATGAGACAAAAATAGAGCTTTTTGGTCTAAACTCCACTCGCCGTGTTTGGAGGAAGAAGAAGGATGAGTACAACCCCAAGAACACCATCCCAACCGTGAAGCATGGAGGTGGAAACATCATTCTTTGGGGATGCTTTTCTGCAAAGGGGACAGGACGACTGCACCGTATTGAGGGGAGGATGGATGGGGCCATGTATCACGAGATCTTGGCCAACAACCTCCTTCCCTCAGTAAGAGCATTGAAGATGGGTCGTGGCTGGGTCTTCCATCATGACAACGACCCGAAACACACAGCCAGGGCAACTAAGGAGTGGCTCCGTAAGAAGCATCTCAAGGTCCTGGAGTGGCCTAGCCAGTCTCCAGACCTGAACCCAATAGAAAATCTTTGGAGGGAGCTGAAAGTCCGTATTGCCCAGCGACAGCCCCGAAACCTGAAGGATCTGGAGAAGGTCTGTATGGAGGAGTGGGCCAAAATCCCTGCTGCAGTGTGTGCAAACCTGGTAAAGACCTACAGGAAACGTATGATCTCTGTAATTGCAAACAAAGGTTTCTGTACCAAATATTAAGTTCTGCTTTTCTGATGTATCAAATACTTATGTCATGCAATAAAATGCAAATGAATTACTTAAAAATCATGCAATGTGATTTTCTGGATTTTTGTTTTAGATTCCGTCTCTCACAGTTGAAGTGTACCTATGATAAAATTACAGACCTCTACATGCTTTGTAAGTAGGAAAACCTGCAAAATCGGCAGTGTATCAAATGCTTGTTCTCCCCACTGTATATATTGAATTGAAACTGTAATATCAACTGGTTATATTATATCGTGGAACACAATCTTCAAACAGGGAGTAACCTCAGCAGTATGGCACTTGCTTATAGAAGCCTATGGCTGTGGAATGGCATAGCCTTGTTTTGTTAATTTAGCAGTCAAGATGCACTTATTTCCTGAGCACTTATCACAGTCAAGACACCTATTTTATAGTAAAAACATGATGTAATAGAATAAAATATAACAGAACAGTATGAGGTGATTCGCATCTCACGTCTGGAACAGTTATTCTTAAAGAGTGATCATTTGAAACAAGGCTCAATTTGGCAAGTTGAAAGGCACATTTTTCAGGGTTCCAAACCAAAATCTGCCTTTTCGACATAGTTTATTATGCCTGTGCCATGGAATTTTCTCAAATGATTAACAATTCTACATCGAACACTGCATGGGGATGAATTAAGGCCAGGACATCTATTTGGTGAGTAAGGCTTAGTTATTCTGATGAAAATATGCTCTTTGTCTTTATCAAACGAATGTTTTTGCTTATTTTCCGTGTGGAACCTGTCTATGTTTAGGGAGGTGATAGCCAGTTCGCAAAGTAGGGTTGTCACTAACGTTAGTAACTACAGCTACAGTTGAAGTCTGAAGTTTACATACACCTTAGCCAAATACATTTAAACTCAGTTTTTCACAATTCCTGACATTTAATCCTAGTAAAAATTCCCTGTCTTAGGTCAGTTAGGATCACCACTTTAATTTAAGAATGTGAAATGTCAGAATAATAGTAGTGAGTGATTTATTTTAGCTTTTATTTATTTCATCACATTTCCAGTGGGTCAGAAGTTTACATACACTCAATTAGTATTTGGTAGCACTGCCTTTAAATTGTTTAACTTGGATCAAACGTTTCAGGTAGCCTTCCACAAGCTTCCCACAATAAATTGGGAGAATTTTGGCCCATTCCTCCTGACAGGTGTAACTG